GGGGGGGGGGGGGGGGGGTTTGGACAAATATTATCAGCAAGTTTTTAAGAAGACATTTAGGAAAATGAAAGATATTTCAGAGAGAGACAAACTCCTTAATACTGAGGATCAGTTCATGAATTCTATGTCTAAAGGATTTTTACACTTTAGCAATAGGAGTTGAAATGATTTTTTACATACAACAAAATCTAATTTGTGGGTTGAAATGAACTTCGATTTTCAACCACTTGAGGCAGTGAAAAATATACAGCAAGGAATCAACTTTAACTCCAAAAAGAAGAAAAAAGACCAGAAAAACAAAGAAACCAAGTAAAATTGCAACTCTCAACAATGCCTCCTTCGTAGAGATTGATCTCAGCTAAATCAAATATGCAAATTGAAATACCGTGAAAAAGAAACACGAAACAAAACATGACATTCAATCACAAACAAGTGTTTATCAACAAAAAAAAAAAGGCTATGATTTCACAATTAACACAGAGATACAGAAACCTGTACTGAAAAATAATCAAGAAATAAAGGAGAATTTCCAGTCTCAATTAAACTCGATTGTTAAAGTAAGAGTGTATTCTCTCTTCAATAAGCTCAACAAAAACAAATGTCTTGCCCACACAATTCAATTTTTCTCGAGAAAAATTAACATATTTTCCTTCAAAACAAACACAACAATTATACGGCAAAACCTGACGACGATTCACATTTCAGGTAATCCTAATTACATGATAATAATGAACAAAACACACCTGCAATAGGAAACGAAGCTCCTCGATTTGAAAAGAATAATTAGATCCATGTCCAGGAGTATTATATAATATCGTAGATAGATAGATATTACGAATCTGTCATTTTCGTTGGCTTCGAAAACTAATTATTATAAATAATACTATTTTGAACCTTTTGTTGAGATAATTACATAGGAATTATCACACCATCACTAAATTCTAATATTTTATAAAATCTATAGTAAATCAAATATAACAGTGAATTAGATCAACAAATTATGTCAATAAATTAAGTCCGCTTCGTCAAAGTATTCATTTAATTTTTATTTGATTCTTAAAATTTTAAATATAACAATTATATTCTTAAAATTTTAAATATAAAAATTATATCCTTAAAATTTTAATCAAGTTTTGACTCAGCCCTCCCATCCAAATTTATTAATTAATTTTTACAGTATGTCAGGATCAAACTATTATAAGTAGGGAATGTCAAAATATGATACGATTTATTATCACGATATGAATACAACATAAAATTTGAATTTTTTTAAGTCACCTGATTCATAAACGGATGGATCCCGCCTAACACGATTAATAAATAAATTGACAACTAATTTATATGTCGGTTATACGTTACACGAATCTGATATAACACAAATTATTAGACATATTTTCATAAATGAATCAGGTGTATGCGATATATTTCTTTACACAAATTCATTAAAATTTGAAAAAAAATCACTTTACCCGACACAACAGGTCTAATCATAAGGGTGCATTTGTATAGCAAGAACTATATCTCTCTAAAATATATTAGTATTTCTCTCATATTTTTATTTTCTTTCTTTTGTTTCGATTTTATTATTATTTTTTTTCTAAAAATTAAATGACACAGAATATGGTTTTTAAGTTTATCCATAATAGATTTTGTATCAAACAAATATAAGAAATTTGAATGTAAGGATTAAACATAAATTTAATTAAAACCTTAAGAATTTGGCTGTTGAAATAAGAATTTTAAGGATCAAATCAAAATTAGATACATACTTGAAGGGTATAGATTATATTTTATGCTTGCGGAGAAACTACTCTTCGCCGAGTGCGTTATGGCCTGCTTCCACTTTCTCAGCCCACTCGTAGAGATAGAGATAACTTGTGACAAATTTTGGGGTGGTTTCATGGTTGTTGAGTTTATTTTTCAAGAATTCGGAATTTTTGGGTTTATTATTTTTGCACATTCTTTAAAATTTTTATTTTTAAACTAATTTAAATTACAGTGACCAATCTTTAAACCGAAGAGAATAGTATGTAAACTTGACATTTCATAGTAAAAAAAGAAAAAAGAAAAGGAGATAGTTTATTTTGTGTCATCCGGGTCCCACGTTATTAGCCGCCCACTTTAGATTTGCACACGTGGAGACAGGTGACATGTAGATGTCTAAGGCACGACGACCGCAGTAGTGTCACGGGTTGTGAATTTGCCACGTGTTAAAGAAAGAGACATTATAAGACGTCAGCATGAGTGAAAATTTTTCAAATTACGAGAATGTCCCTGGGTGCACTATGGCGACACTACAGTGTCCGCGTGGATGACGTATATGCAGTGAAGTAATATCTCGTATCCGAAAACACGATAAAATATAATGTCTAAAAAATTAATTTTATTATATTAAATTTCTTTAGTATGTGTAATCGATCTTATGAATAATGTTTAAAATAAAAATTATATTAATTATAAAATAATCAAATATTAAATAATTAAACTTATAATAGAAATAAGTAATGCGATATTTTTAAGGTAAAAATATATAAATGATTAAACATGTAATAGAAATGAGTGATACGACTTGACGTTTGAATGAATGAGTGATACGACTTGACGTTTGAATGAATGAGTGATACGACTTGACATTTGAGTTTGACAGATGAATGATAGGTGAGGTAAATGATTGGTGATAATTTTGAAGAAAAAAATACGATTGAAATAAAATTGAAAGTATGAACTATTTTATTATATAGATTACCCATCATCTCAGAAGGTGACAAAAAGTTACGATACCGTTCGGTATCATATTAAAAATTATAATTTTTTAAAGTTAAATTATATTTTTTTAAAAATATAAATTATAATTTTAAAATATATGATCGATTATAAAAAATTAAAATCTATACCATAATTTTTATTGAAGCCTAAAACTTGTCCCAAAATTAGATTTTAGGCCCAACTTGGAGAGCACCTTGTTCTTGTTTCGTTTACTCAAACTTAAAACCCGGGCTCAGTCCGTCTAGAGGGCCCTCAGTCGGCCCAGCCCATTACCATTTTGAACGTTAGGCCTCCTCAATTGTCAGCGAAGCCGAGTGATCATTTTGTCCATTTCCCCGAAATTTGAAATCCCATTCGCGCTAATGTCACTTTCATCTATACCGCTCATCTGATAGCCAAATCTCTCTCTCTCTCTGTGTATCGATAGGTTACAACCGGACTACGTTGATGGGCAGGGCTTTGTGAAGATGACGACGGTAGAGAAGCTGTTCGTCCAGATCTTCGAGCGAAAGAACAGGATAATTCAACAAGTCAAGCAACAAACAGACTTGTACAATCAACACCTTGCTTCGAAATGTCTCATTGATGGAATCACCCCTCCTTCGTGGCTGTGGAACCCTAATTTTCACTCTCAAGCCTCAGATCCGAAAGGTGCGCTGTAAAACTCATATACAATTCCATGTTAGCATTTCCTGTGAAGTATCTTACGGCATTGTATTCTTGCTGAGAAATTGCAGGATATTGAAACTTTAACTCAAATCTCTCTCTCTCTCTCTCTNAAAAATAATCAAGAAATAAAGGAGAATTTCCAGTCTCAATTAAACTCGATTGTTAAAGTAAGAGTGTATTCTCTCTTCAATAAGCTCAACAAAAACAAATGTCTTGCCCACACAATTCAATTTTTCTCGAGAAAAATTAACATATTTTCCTTCAAAACAAACACAACAATTATACGGCAAAACCTGACGACGATTCACATTTCAGGTAATCCTAATTACATGATAATAATGAACAAAACACACCTGCAATAGGAAACGAAGCTCCTCGATTTGAAAAGAATAATTAGATCCATGTCCAGGAGTATTATATAATATCGTAGATAGATAGATATTACGAATCTGTCATTTTCGTTGGCTTCGAAAACTAATTATTATAAATAATACTATTTTGAACCTTTTGTTGAGATAATTACATAGGAATTATCACACCATCACTAAATTCTAATATTTTATAAAATCTATAGTAAATCAAATATAACAGTGAATTAGATCAACAAATTATGTCAATAAATTAAGTCCGCTTCGTCAAAGTATTCATTTAATTTTTATTTGATTCTTAAAATTTTAAATATAACAATTATATTCTTAAAATTTTAAATATAAAAATTATATCCTTAAAATTTTAATCAAGTTTTGACTCAGCCCTCCCATCCAAATTTATTAATTAATTTTTACAGTATGTCAGGATCAAACTATTATAAGTAGGGAATGTCAAAATATGATACGATTTATTATCACGATATGAATACAACATAAAATTTGAATTTTTTTAAGTCACCTGATTCATAAACGGATGGATCTCGCCTAACACGATTAATAAATAAATTGACAACTAATTTATATGTCGGTTATACGTTACACGAATCTGATATAACACAAATTATTAGACATATTTTCATAAATGAATCAGGTGTATGCGATATATTTCTTTACACAAATTCATTAAAATTTGAAAAAAAATCACTTTACCCGACACAACAGGTCTAATCATAAGGGTGCATTTGTATAGCAAGAACTATATCTCTCTAAAATATATTAGTATTTCTCTCATATTTTTATTTTCTTTCTTTTGTTTCGATTTTATTATTATTTTTTTTCTAAAAATTAAATGACACAGAATATGGTTTTTAAGTTTATCCATAATAGATTTTGTATCAAACAAATATAAGAAATTTGAATGTAAGGATTAAACATAAATTTAATTAAAACCTTAAGAATTTGGCTGTTGAAATAAGAATTTTAAGGATCAAATCAAAATTAGATACATACTTGAAGGGTATAGATTATATTTTATGCTTGCGGAGAAACTACTCTTCGCCGAGTGCGTTATGGCCTGCTTCCACTTTCTCAGCCCACTCGTAGAGATAGAGATAACTTGTGACAAATTTTGGGGTGGTTTCATGGTTGTTGAGTTTATTTTTCAAGAATTCGGAATTTTTGGGTTTATTATTTTTGCACATTCTTTAAAATTTTTATTTTTAAACTAATTTAAATTACAGTGACCAATCTTTAAACCGAAGAGAATAGTATGTAAACTTGACATTTCATAGTAAAAAAAGAAAAAAGAAAAGGAGATAGTTTATTTTGTGTCATCCGGGTCCCACGTTATTAGCCGCCCACTTTAGATTTGCACACGTGGAGACAGGTGACATGTAGATGTCTAAGGCACGACGACCGCAGTAGTGTCACGGGTTGTGAATTTGCCACGTGTTAAAGAAAGAGACATTATAAGACGTCAGCATGAGTGAAAATTTTTCAAATTACGAGAATGTCCCTGGGTGCACTATGGCGACACTACAGTGTCCGCGTGGATGACGTATATGCAGTGAAGTAATATCTCGTATCCGAAAACACGATAAAATATAATGTCTAAAAAATTAATTTTATTATATTAAATTTCTTTAGTATGTGTAATCGATCTTATGAATAATGTTTAAAATAAAAATTATATTAATTATAAAATAATCAAATATTAAATAATTAAACTTATAATAGAAATAAGTAATGCGATATTTTTAAGGTAAAAATATATAAATGATTAAACATGTAATAGAAATGAGTGATACGACTTGACGTTTGAATGAATGAGTGATACGACTTGACGTTTGAATGAATGAGTGATACGACTTGACATTTGAGTTTGACAGATGAATGATAGGTGAGGTAAATGATTGGTGATAATTTTGAAGAAAAAAATACGATTGAAATAAAATTGAAAGTATGAACTATTTTATTATATAGATTACCCATCATCTCAGAAGGTGACAAAAAGTTACGATACCGTTCGGTATCATATTAAAAATTATAATTTTTTAAAGTTAAATTATATTTTTTTAAAAATATAAATTATAATTTTAAAATATATGATCGATTATAAAAAATTAAAATCTATACCATAATTTTTATTGAAGCCTAAAACTTGTCCCAAAATTAGATTTTAGGCCCAACTTGGAGAGCACCTTGTTCTTGTTTCGTTTACTCAAACTTAAAACCCGGGCTCAGTCCGTCTAGAGGGCCCTCAGTCGGCCCAGCCCATTACCATTTTGAACGTTAGGCCTCCTCAATTGTCAGCGAAGCCGAGTGATCATTTTGTCCATTTCCCCGAAATTTGAAATCCCATTCGCGCTAATGTCACTTTCATCTATACCGCTCATCTGATAGCCAAATCTCTCTCTCTCTCTGTGTATCGATAGGTTACAACCGGACTACGTTGATGGGCAGGGCTTTGTGAAGATGACGACGGTAGAGAAGCTGTTCGTCCAGATCTTCGAGCGAAAGAACAGGATAATTCAACAAGTCAAGCAACAAACAGACTTGTACAATCAACACCTTGCTTCGAAATGTCTCATTGATGGAATCACCCCTCCTTCGTGGCTGTGGAACCCTAATTTTCACTCTCAAGCCTCAGATCCGAAAGGTGCGCTGTAAAACTCATATACAATTCCATGTTAGCATTTCCTGTGAAGTATCTTACGGCATTGTATTCTTGCTGAGAAATTGCAGGATATTGAAACTTTAACTCAAATCTCTCTCTCTCTCTCTTTCATTTTGGGACCTGAAAACCCTAACCTTTACCGTATGGTGTTTTCGTTTTCTTCAATTTGAAATTAAAAGAACTGCAATCGAACTATTTGGCAATCTCATTTATCAAAACTAATGGTGGATATAAGGACCAACTCGTAGAAAGTTATTCATAAAATGCTTGTCTTTCAGAATTTCAGCATCATTTCTGATCTCTTGTCAAACATACAGTAATTTCCTTNGAATTAGATCAACAAATTATGTCAAATTAAGTCCGCTCCGTCAAAGTATGCATTTAATTTTTATTTGATTCTTAAAATTTTAAATATAACAATTATATTCTTAAAATTTTAAATATAAAAATTATATCCTTAAAATTTTAATCAAGTTTTGACTCAGCCCTCCCATCCAAATTTATTAATTAATTTTTACAGTATGTCAGGATCAAACTATTATAAGTAGGGAATGTCAAAATATGATACGATTTATTATCACGATATGAATACAACATAAAATTTGAATTTTTTTAAGTCACCTGATTCATAAACGGATGGATCCCGCCTAACACGATTAATAAATAAATTGACAACTAATTTATATGTCGGTTATACGTTACACGAATCTGATATAACACAAATTATTAGACATATTTTCATAAATGAATCAGGTGTATGCGATATATTTCTTTACACAAATTCATTAAAATTCGAAAAAAAAATCACTTTACCCGACACAACAGGTCTAATCATAAGGGTGCATTTGTATAGCAAGAACTATATCTCTCTAAAATATATTAGTATTTCTCTCATATTTTTATTTTCTTTCTTTTGTTTCGATTTTATTATTATTTTTTTTCTAAAAATTAAATGACACAGAATATGGTTTTTAAGTTTATCCATAATAGATTTTGTATCAAACAAATATAAGAAATTTGAATGTAAGGATTAAACATAAATTTAATTAAAACCTTAAGAATTTGGCTGTTGAAATAAGAATTTTAAGGATCAAATCAAAATTAGATACATACTTGAAGGGTATAGATTATATTTTATGCTTGCGGAGAAACTACTCTTCGCCGAGTGCGTTATGGCCTGCTTCCACTTTCTCAGCCCACTCGTAGAGATAGAGATAACTTGTGACAAATTTTGGGGTGGTTTCATGGTTGTTGAGTTTATTTTTCAAGAATTCGGAATTTTTGGGTTTATTATTTTTGCACATTCTTTAAAATTTTTATTTTTAAACTAATTTAAATTACAGTGACCAATCTTTAAACCGAAGAGAATAGTATGTAAACTTGACATTTCATAGTAAAAAAAGAAAAAAGAAAAGGAGATAGTTTATTTTGTGTCATCCGGGTCCCACGTTATTAGCCGCCCACTTTAGATTTGCACACGTGGAGACAGGTGACATGTAGATGTCTAAGGCACGACGACCGCAGTAGTGTCACGGGTTGTGAATTTGCCACGTGTTAAAGAAAGAGACATTATAAGACGTCAGCATGAGTGAAAATTTTTCAAATTACGAGAATGTCCCTGGGTGCACTATGGCGACACTACAGTGTCCGCGTGGATGACGTATATGCAGTGAAGTAATATCTCGTATCCGAAAACACGATAAAATATAATGTCTAAAAAATTAATTTTATTATATTAAATTTCTTTAGTATGTGTAATCGATCTTATGAATAATGTTTAAAATAAAAATTATATTAATTATAAAATAATCAAATATTAAATAATTAAACTTATAATAGAAATAAGTAATGCGATATTTTTAAGGTAAAAATATATAAATGATTAAACATGTAATAGAAATGAGTGATACGACTTGACGTTTGAATGAATGAGTGATACGACTTGACGTTTGAATGAATGAGTGATACGACTTGACATTTGAGTTTGACAGATGAATGATAGGTGAGGTAAATGATTGGTGATAATTTTGAAGAAAAAAATACGATTGAAATAAAATTGAAAGTATGAACTATTTTATTATATAGATTACCCATCATCTCAGAAGGTGACAAAAAGTTACGATACCGTTCGGTATCATATTAAAAATTATAATTTTTTAAAGTTAAATTATATTTTTTTAAAAATATAAATTATAATTTTAAAATATATGATCGATTATAAAAAATTAAAATCTATACCATAATTTTTATTGAAGCCTAAAACTTGTCCCAAAATTAGATTTTAGGCCCAACTTGGAGAGCACCTTGTTCTTGTTTCGTTTACTCAAACTTAAAACCCGGGCTCAGTCCGTCTAGAGGGCCCTCAGTCGGCCCAGCCCATTACCATTTTGAACGTTAGGCCTCCTCAATTGTCAGCGAAGCCGAGTGATCATTTTGTCCATTTCCCCGAAATTTGAAATCCCATTCGCGCTAATGTCACTTTCATCTATACCGCTCATCTGATAGCCAAATCTCTCTCTCTCTCTGTGTATCGATAGGTTACAACCGGACTACGTTGATGGGCAGGGCTTTGTGAAGATGACGACGGTAGAGAAGCTGTTCGTCCAGATCTTCGAGCGAAAGAACAGGATAATTCAACAAGTCAAGCAACAAACAGACTTGTACAATCAACACCTTGCTTCGAAATGTCTCATTGATGGAATCACCCCTCCTTCGTGGCTGTGGAACCCTAATTTTCACTCTCAAGCCTCAGATCCGAAAGGTGCGCTGTAAAACTCATATACAATTCCATGTTAGCATTTCCTGTGAAGTATCTTACGGCATTGTATTCTTGCTGAGAAATTGCAGGATATTGAAACTTTAACTCAAATCTCTCTCTCTCTCTCTTTCATTTTGGGACCTGAAAACCCTAACCTTTACCGTATGGTGTTTTCGTTTTCTTCAATTTGAAATTAAAAGAACTGCAATCGAACTATTTGGCAATCTCATTTATCAAAACTAATGGTGGATATAAGGACCAACTCGTAGAAAGTTATTCATAAAATGCTTGTCTTTCAGAATTTCAGCATCATTTCTGATCTCTTGTCAAACTTACAGTAATTTCCTTATCTGTAATTGGAAGCTTCCTTAGTTTACTATGCCCAACTTANCTCGTAGAAAGTTATTCATAAAATGCTTGTCTTTCAGAATTTCAGCATCATTTCTGATCTCTTGTCAAACATACAGTAATTTCCTTATCTGTAATTGGAAGCTTCCTTAGTTTACTATGCCCAACTTATCAAGCATTCGTCAAAATAATAGGAATTAATTCCTAAGCTTGTACTTATAATGCTACGATATTTCCAAAATCACAGCCATTTTGCTCCACAAGTGTGCCTTTAATTTAAGCACTTCTCTAGTTGCTTTATTTTGCTTGGAGTCTTTTGCTTTTAATTGTTCATATCAGTGTCATTGNGTCAAAATATGATACGATTTATTATCACGATATGAATACAACATAAAATTTGAATTTTTTTAAGTCACCTGATTCATAAACGGATGGATCCCGCCTAACACGATTAATAAATAAATTGACAACTAATTTATATGTCGGTTATACGTTACACGAATCTGATATAACACAAATTATTAGACATATTTTCATAAATGAATCAGGTGTATGCGATATATTTCTTTACACAAATTCATTAAAATTCGAAAAAAAAATCACTTTACCCGACACAACAGGTCTAATCATAAGGGTGCATTTGTATAGCAAGAACTATATCTCTCTAAAATATATTAGTATTTCTCTCATATTTTTATTTTCTTTCTTTTGTTTCGATTTTATTATTATTTTTTTTCTAAAAATTAAATGACACAGAATATGGTTTTTAAGTTTATCCATAATAGATTTTGTATCAAACAAATATAAGAAATTTGAATGTAAGGATTAAACATAAATTTAATTAAAACCTTAAGAATTTGGCTGTTGAAATAAGAATTTTAAGGATCAAATCAAAATTAGATACATACTTGAAGGGTATAGATTATATTTTATGCTTGCGGAGAAACTACTCTTCGCCGAGTGCGTTATGGCCTGCTTCCACTTTCTCAGCCCACTCATAGAGATAGAGATAGCTTGTGACAAATTTTGGGGTGGTTTTATGGTTGAGTTTATTTTTCAAGAATTTGGAATTTTTGGGTTTATTATTTTTGCACATTCTTTAAAATTTTTATTTTTAAACTAATTTAAATTACAGAAGAGAATAGTCTGTAAACTTGACATTTCATAGTAAAAAAAAAAAAAAGAAAAGGAGATACTTTATTTTGTGTCTTCCGGGTCCCACGTTATTAGCCGCCCACTTTAGATTTGCACACGTGGAGACAGGTGATATGTAGATGTCTAAGGCACGACGACCGCAGTAGTGTCACGGGTTGTGAATTTGCCACGTGTTAAAGAAAGAGACATTATAAGACGTCAGCATGAGTGAAAATTTTTCAAATTACGAGAATGTCCCTGGGTGCACTATGGCGACACTACAGTGTCCGCGTGGATGANCATGCGTGAAAATTTTACAAATTACGAGAAAGTCCCTGGGTGCACTATGGCGACACTACAGTGTCCGCGTGGATGACGTATATGCAGAGTAGTAATAACTCAGTATACGAAAACACGATAAAATATAACGTCTAAAAAATCGATCTTATTATATTAAATTTTTTTAGCATGTGTAATTGATCTTATGAATAATGTTTGAAATAAAAATTATATTAACTATAAAATAATCAAATATTAAATAATTAAACTTATGATAGAAATAAGTAATGCAATATGTTTAACGCAAAAATATATAAATGATTAAACATGTAATAGAAATGAGTGATACGACTTGACGTTTGAATGAATGAGTGATACGACTTGACATTTGAGTTTGACAAATGAATGATAGGTGAGGTAAATGATTGGTGATAATTTTGGGGAAAAAAATACGACTGAGATAAAATTGAAAGTATGAACTATTTTATTATATAGATTACCCATCATCTCAGAAGGTGACAAAAAGTTACGATACCGTTCGGTATCATATTAAAAATTATAATTTTTTAAAGTTAAATTATATTTTTTTAAAAATATAAATTATAATTTTAAAATATATGATCGATTATAAAAAATTAAAATCTATACCATAATTTTTATTGAAGCCTAAAACTTGTCCCAAAATTAGATTTTAGGCCCAACTTGGAGAGCACCTTGTTCTTGTTTCGTTTACACTCAAACTTAAAACCCGGGCTCAGTCCGTCAAGAGGGCCCTCAGTCGGCCCAGCCCATTACCATTTTGAACGTTAGGCCTCCTCAATTGTCAGCGAAGCCGAGTGATCATTTTGTCCATTTCCCCGAAATTTGAAATCCCATTCGCGCTAATGTCACTTTCATCTATACCGCTCATCTGATAGCCAAATCTCTCTCTCTCTCTCTCTCTGTGTATCGATAGGTTACAACCGGACTACGTTGATGGGCAGGGCTTTGTGAAGATGACGACGGTAGAGAAGCTGTTCGTCCAGATCTTCGAGCGAAAGAACAGGATAATTCAACAAGTCAAGCAACAAACAGACTTGTACAATCAACACCTTGCTTCGAAATGTCTCATTGATGGAATCACCCCTCCTTCGTGGCTGTGGAACCCTAATTTTCACTCTCAAGCCTCAGATCCGAAAGGTGCGCTGTGAAACTCATATACAATTCCATGTTAGCATTTCCTGTGAAGTATCTTACGGCATTGTATTCTTGCTGAGAAATTGCAGGATATTGAAACTTTAACTCAAATCTCTCTCTCTCTCTCTCTCTTTCATTTTGGGACCTGAAAACCCTAACCTTTACCGTATGGTGTTTTCGTTTTCTTCAATTTGAAATTAAAAGAACTGCAATCGAACTATTTGGCAATCTCATTTATCAAAACTAATGGTGGATATAAGGACCAACTCGTAGAAAGTTATTCATAAAATGCTTGTCTTTCAGAATTTCAGCATCATTTCTGATCTCTTGTCAAACATACAGTAATTTCCTTATCTGTAATTGGAAGCTTCCTTAGTTTACTATGCCCAACTTATCAAGCATTCGTCAAAATAATAGGAATTAATTCCTAAGCTTGTACTTATAATGCTACGATATTTCCAAAATCACAGCCATTTTGCTCCACAAGTGTGCCTTTAATTTAAGCACTTCTCTAGTTGCTTTATTTTGCTTGGAGTCTTTTGCTTTTAATTGTTCATATCAGTGTCATTTTGATGTTGCTAAACATAAATTCTTGTTGCGGGAGTATAATTGGCTGTGCCGGAAACATCCCAATAATTTTGTTTGATAATTAATGTAGCTTGAATTTTCAATTGTTCTCAAAATAGTGGTTGTGGGGATATTTTGTTTTCCAGTTTTAAGTTGAATTCAAGTATTACCGTTGTTGATTTATATACGATTACAATCAGAGTGAAAAGTACAAAATTTGCGAGGCAGGGTTTAGAAAAAAAGCTGGCTTTGATAGCTTGTTTGGTAGGCATTATAGTTATAAACCTGCCTCAATTCTACAATGTAAACTATTGGCAAACATTTTGATTGTCTAATACCCCAATTTTTTTTCTTTGCAGAACTGAAGAAAGAAGATCTGATTTCTGAGCTCCTACTTCCACATCTACAACCTACAGTCACTTCCTTTAGTAGTCATTGCTATCTGTATGGCAAGCCCATTGTTACAGGTGATAATGAAGAGCTATCACGCATGGAAACCCAGGCTTTCCACAGGGATCTCAATGCAGAAGATGGGCCAAGCACAATGTCCGAGTGCCATGAGAATAACATGGAATGTGCCTTAAATACAGTTCCTGAGATTGATGTTAGTGTTACCTCTCCCCAAAATCAAGCGGAATTAAGCATCTCAAACACTTATACTGCACAAGATCAGTCACTGGCTAGAATTCAAAGGTCCAGGTCAAGGCAAAAGGCTTTAGAGCTTCGCAATAGTGCAAAAAATGTAGCTAAAAGTCTTTTAAGACATGAAAATAACACCAATGTTTCTTGTGAGATGACATTGCCCAGGATTGCTTCCCAACAGACTGATCATATAGATGAGTTGGGGCAATTGGCCAGAAATTCTGATGTTGGTAGCGGAAGTTGTTCAGTGAGGGAAGCAGAAGAAAGAGTTTGTCTGAATAATGAAAAGGACACCAGCATTTACTGTGGTAGAATTACAAGATCTAGAAGCTCTTGCAGAGAACGCAGCTGTGGGAATGATGCTATGAGTTTAGATATCTCTTCGGATAATGTTAAGAAAGATAGTGGTACACTAGAACGATCTACAGTTAATTCACTGCAGCACTGTAACAGTGTTAATGAGTTATTAGAAGTCGTAAACCCTTTTGATGTCACTACTGAAGATTGCATAGTTAGAAAAGCAATAACAGGAGTTTGCAGGGACAAGGAAGAAAGCGGAAATGTTTATGGTAGTAGAATTACAAGATCTAGGACTTCTAGCCAACCACCTAGTTGTCTGAACGAGTCTTCAAGGCTTGACGTTACCACTTGTAGTGCCAAGGCAGATGGTAATATGCTTGCTCAGTTAAACAGCAAATCAATATGCCACCTTGATGATGACAATAACTTGCAGAAATTGGCCCAACCTTCTGGTGAGTTTAGTGGTAGAAGGACAAGGTCGCAAACTACTTTGAATGAAGGAATATCGACGTCGATCAAGACTTCCAGTATTCTCAATCCTGGAGCTCAATCATCCAAATCAGGTGCTGCAAACATTTCTCTACTTGCAAACTTGTTAAACAGGGCTGAAGGATATGAGCTTCAGAATTTATCAGGTGGTCAAGTAATCATTCCTTGTCCTGAAACCCAAGTTGTTGCTGATCAGGAAGGAATTGCTGAAACTGTAATAGGGATTGAGCTTGTTTCAGATGATATAGTTGAAGATCTGTCCATCAGCAGGTCTAACTTGGATGGGGCAAATCAAAGTACGGGGTTGGAAGGCTTGGTAACAAGGCCTGCCCCTGATTGTTGTATGTTTGTGAAACCCAAGCAACTGGACTTTGATGACATGGAAGTTCATAGCTTGAATGAAACTTTTGGTCCTAACTTTGAGAACAGTATGTTGGGCAAATCATCAGAAAAGATGTGTTGGCTTCTGTCAGAGACAGTAGCATCAGTGGATAGAGAAACATCTGATGACCTCAACGGGAAAACTTGGGAGAAGCATTCACTGGTGAAGCCGACCATCTCAAGAGAACCTGAGGACGTTTGGAGGGGTTCTTTTGATGCTGTTGTTGAAGGTGCTGTTCAAATGAAGAAATCTGGAACTACTATGAGCGAGGATTCTATGCCAAAGAGTATCAGAGACAACTCTGAGGCCATCCAGCATATTCAGAACTCTCCAGTTTGTCACGACACGGATGTTGCACTATCGAATGTTAATAAGAGCTTTGATGTAGAAGGGAATCAGGTGAAATCTCTTTCAACAGAAAGGTTTAAGTCTTCACGGGAGCTGCGAATTGAAGAGGTACTTATTTTTTAATTATCTTTTTCATGCCGCAAGTTGGGAAGTTTTCTATTTGTTATGCACACTTTCTTTGAGTATGAAATGATTTAGCTTATGTGTTCTGAACTTCATTCAGCTGACAACTTCAGTCAAAATGGTAGACTGATTATTAGAAATTTCTGGAGAGTTCAAATGCAAGTCTTTATGCTTGTAATGTGGGAAAAATTAGGTTTAATTCTGTTGACTGTTGGATTGCTAGGCTTCTGCTAGTTCATTGTATGGATGGCCTAATTGGAGGTTATTTTTTTTCCTTCTTTTATTTTTGTCTGCTAGGTGGGGTTTGGTAGTACCTATCAAAATTAGGAAAACAGGCATTGCTAGATTTTGATTTAGTTCTGCACTGATTAGATACTAGCTGCAGATCCGTGCGATGCACAGGATTTATAATCCTTCCATACCCTTCCCCATCCCATTACTGGGGATATTGTAAAGAGAATTACAGTAAATTATGGGGTGCTACATGTAACATTTTCAATTTTTTTTTTGAATGAGACGTAGTTGTTTAGTGGGGGTTAAGGGGTGGTTGCATGGGACACGTGGTTGAATGAGATCTTCTTTTGCAATAAATTAAATGAAAATTGTTTAAGGTTAAGGAAGGAGAGTGAAAGCTTCCCCAAGCCCTCTCTCCTCTAATTTGATTTTTTTACTATTAGATTAGGAGGCTATATGATATTTGTAACTTATAAGTTTCTCCTAGCTGGGTGATGTTGTACTTTGTGACCTGTGCTTTCACAATAAGTGCTCATGCTTTCAAAATATGCACGTGTACACAAATACATATTAAATAGTTTTGTGTAGATTCTTTTAGTGCTTGTATTAAAACCCCTTTGATGCATGGCTTAAGTTTTCTTTCTTTATTTTTTTTTTTTTTTTGGGCAGGGTGAACGTGGTTATGAAGGAATGGATAGAAGTGCAACCGCCTCTNTGTAGATTCTTTTAGTGCTTGTATTAAAACCCCTTTGATGCATGGCTTAAGTTTTCTTTCTTTTTTTTTTTTTTGGGCAGGGTGAACGTGGTTATGAAGGAATGGATAGAAGTGCAACCGCCTCTTATTTTTTCAGAGGCAACCACTTAGAGGCACCCGAGGTCTCAAGCTTGACCAAACATGCTACTGGAGATTTCCAAGATTGCTCAGATGAGGAAGTGGGAACGGCAGATCTAACTTGTGCTTTCATTGATGCAAACAGTCAGTGTTGTGTGCAAGATAATCAAAATTTGTTGCATCTTGACAATGTGCTTTATTCCAGGAATACAGGCAATTTGGCTTGTAGTATAAAAAGCCCGGATGTAAAGACCTCTCATCAGAGAGAGGATGGCTTGCTTACATATGGTTCAGTTGGGGCTCCACATTGTGAGGATGAGAACCTAAGTTTGAACATAAGGGAAATACAACTTGAAAAAAAGTCCTCTTCGCCAGACACAAGTTTCAGCTCTGCCAAACTGGGTTCATGGCCTCAGTTGAAGAGGAGAAAGATTGAGGATCAACTGACTAATTCCTTCTCTGCTTCCCCAAGCTTTAGGGTGCAAAAGCTTTATGGTGTTCAAGGGGATCCTACAAGTAGATGCATGCAGAGTGTTGAAAATAATTCAGAAATTGTTCTAAAATTTGAAGACTTTCCAGTTTCTTGTGATGCATCACAAACAAATGTCAATAAGAGTTCTGCTGTTGGAATGTGTCAGAAGTTGAAATGCGAATCGACAGAAGGAGTTGAGTCTTTGTTTGAGTTTCAAAGTGAAGAGGTATTTGTTCTTATGCTATCTAGATTGATATTTTTGAGGTATTTTATGTATATATTTAGTTAGCACCTTTGGAAAGTAGGTTTTTGGCTGTTATCTTGTCAGTCATTTAGATGACAAGTTAATCTTTTGGTTATGTAGGTTGCTTAACATTGATCTGATGTGTGTTGGATATCCACTGATTATTAGCATTGCTTGTGATTAAGGGGGAAAATGTTGACCTTGATTTGTGATCAAAAACTACCTCAGATATTATGCTAAAGGAGGAAGAGGCATATCACTTCTGCCAAGCTCCCCCATGGTAGCTTAGCCTAGTAGCTTTACTCTTTCTACTGGCGTGACATCAGATTTTGATGTAAATTAACCACCATCAGAGTTTAACTACTACCTCAGATAGGTTGTTGTCGTAATACTTGGGGCTACATACAGATAAAAATGAAGGTTTAGTCTTGAGTGTTAAAATTAGTGCTTTATATCCATTCTTAACAATGTTATGTTATGTTGTTAAGATAAATTGATTATATGCCTCTGACTAGCTGCTGTCCTATTTGAACCCATCTTCCCCTTTTCCCAAAAAAAAAAAATCTCCAAAATATCCCACAGGTGGATGACATTAATTTGTATTCCCAATCTCCTTCTTGTCCAATGAGTTCACGAACCTTATTGGGGTTTGATGCTGTACTTTGTTTGGTGGTTGGGGGATTCAGATATGCATGTGTGATCAAAGTGATCCTATCAGTGAATGATGAATGTAACAGTTATATGTGATGCAATTCTAGGGCCCAGACAAGCACAACCAACCCTTTAATCAACCCAAAAAGCTTGTTCTCTCTCTCTCTCTCTACATATATATATATGTTCATGTATATGTGTATATAGATATAGATAGATAGACGTATATATATCTCCATCTCTANCTTTCTCTACATATATATATATATGTTCATGTATATGTGTATATAGATATAGATAGATAGACGTATATANACATATATATATATGTTCATGTATATGTGTATATAGATATAGATAGATAGACGTATATATATCTCCATCTCTATCTCTTTGTCCTCTGACTTAAAGTTTTGCATAATTAGCATTTGAACTTGTATCAAAGCTTTTCTGAGGCAAGAGCTATGTTTGCTGCCACTCTGTCTGCAGGTTGAACTGAACTCTAAGGAGAGAGATAAGATTGCAGAGATCCCTTTGGCATTCACCCATGAATTATTAGGGTCATCCCTGGTCTCAAGTTTGAATGAACGGGCAGCTCTTGGTTCAGAAAATTGCTTGGTTCAGGAAGTGGGCATGTCAGATCCCATTAGCACTGTTCTTGATGCAAGAAAACACTCCAAAAAGCACAGTGACCAACTCTTATTGCATCTTGCGAATAAAGTTAATCAGATAAATGGTGAAGATTTGACTTGTATTGAGAGATCCCAACGGGAAAGAAAATTTCATCTTGGGGAGGATGGGCTACCTTCATATTGTGCAGTTCAGTCTCCACACAATATTGATACTGACCAAACTCTGCCTGTGTTTGAGGGTTTCATCATAGATCCGCAAACAGAGGATGAAGAACCAGGTATTGCTGAAGATAGGATCAACTTTGACAAACTTGACCTTCCAAGTTCCACAATAGAACGTGCTAGTATTTTGGAGCAGATTTGCAAATCTACCAGCAGGCATACACCATTGCCCCATTTTTCCTCAACATTTCAGTTTCAAAGAACCAAAGATTTGCACCAATCTGTACCGAATGGAATTCTTGAGCACATGGAATCAAGGAGCACTTTACTTCTATGTGATGATGTTGGCAAACAGCTTTGGGCCAGTTATGGTTGTATGGATGAAGTCAACACTCTTCGGGGTGTTTCATATTCTGATTGCATACCATATTCTGGTGCTCAAATTGGTTGGAATTCAAAAAATCCATGCACATCTCCTGTTGGAAAGCTGTGGGAAAATATCTCATCAAACTCTGGAAGTTCCGAGAAGCGCTTAAGCTCAAATCCAGAGCTGATTTGCTTCCCGATTGAGGAAGATTCCAGTATGAGTGAAGNGGGGTGTTTCATATTCTGATTGCATACCATATTCTGGTGCTCAAATTGGTTGGAATTCAAAAAATCCATGTACATCTCCTGTTGGAAAGCTGTGGGAAAATATCTCATCAAACTCTGGAAGTTCCGAGAAGCGCTTATGCTCAAATCCAGAGCTGATTTGCTTCCCGATTGAGGAAGATTCCAGTATGAGTGAAGAAACTGAGAATGCAGATGAAGTGGCTAATAATACCCAAGAAGGCGTCAATTCCACAGTGATGAACCCATCTGCCAAAAGAGAACCACTTGCTGATGTAACAAAAGCATGCTCAAATCTTCCTCCATTGGTTTGTGAAGCAGGAAAATTTCCTGGTAGAGGTAGTGTAGATTCGGTAAACACAGAAGTCAGCATCACAGGTGCTCATAATAAGGTAAAACAGAAGCTTCATAATCGTTACAGCAATAAGAGGAGAGGTACAAATGAGGCAAAGGAGAACCAAGCCTTATCAATGGGCGCAAATGATGTTAAGAGGCCTAATGTATCACTCCATAACAGGTTTAGTAAGCCAAAGTTATCAAGTAAAACTAGTTTGAAGAAAGGTGGTGTAAAGAGACTCTCAGAGAAGGAACATAAGCATAACAACATAGTTTCGAGTATAACGTCTTTCATTCCACTAGTTCAACAGAAAAAAGCCGATGCAGTTTGTGCAGGTAATCTGCCTATTTTTGGTGCTTAGTATATATTTACTGTTTTCTTTGGTTTGGAGAATTGGTTTTATTTCAAACAACTTGATGTCATAAGATTGGGCAATTTCCAATTTTGCAGTAGACATAGTTTCACAATAATGCCAGCTGCTTAAGTTAAATACTCCATCCACAAACTTGCTTACTCTGAAGTCTAAGGTGCTGAGACTTGAGATAATTAGATATATTGATTATTTGAGCAAGTATGTTTGGTCATGTTTAGCCTGTGTTTAGTTGTTCAACATGGCTACCCCCATATCTCCTGGTGATAGATTAACATGACTGCAGTCTACACCATGTACATTGGCATCCCTGTATTTCCCTCTTTCTTTTTCTGTGTTTTCACTTGGAACAACTTGGACTGACAACACTTCTTACTCACACAATTGCAAACATGTCATTATGCTTTTTAGTTTNTAATCCCTGTATTTCCCTCTTTCTTTTTCTGTGCTTTCACTTGGAACAACTTCGACTGACAACACTTCTTACTCACACAATTGCAAACATGTCATTATGCTTTTTAGTTTTTTGAAAAGCTGGAATCAATCTACTGGGGAAAATAATAAAATTGATGGAGTAGTGTTGGACGAGCAATATTATAGGGAATACGATGCTAGCAATTTTTTTATTCATAAAGTGACTGTAGCAAAGCATAGATACCATAACGTGTACCTATACTCGGACCATGTACCAAATCGACCTACAATCCCTGTAACATTTTACCAAAGTCAATGCACAGCTATAAGCCATCATATAAAACTTGTCATCATCAATTTGAAATTTTGAGGCTGTTGAAATGGGTCTAGAAGACACAATATGAACTGTCAGAATTAGTACATAAGTTGGGCATGGGCTTGTCTTCTAAAACCAGATGAACCTTCAAGAGTTCCATTGTTGCTATTCAAGCTCGATTTTTTGTGTCGTCTTGCAGGGAAGAGAGACATTAAAGTGAAATCTCTGGAGGCTGCTGAAGCTGCAAAACGCCTTGAAGAAAGAAAACAGAATGAACGTAAGACAAAGAAAGAAGAATTGAAGCTTGAGCGAGCACGATTGCAACAAGACAATTTGAGGCAAATGGAGTTAAATAAGAGAAAGAAAGAGGAGGAACAGAAGAAAAAAGAGGCTGATGCAGCGGCAAGGAAGAGAGTGAGAGATGAAGAAGAGCAGAAGGAGAGGGAAAGGAAAAGAAAGCGGATTGAAACACGGCGACATCAGAGAGATCAAGTGGAACAGTTATGTGGTGGGAAGGTGGAGAAAGAAAGACATTGCAGCACTGTAGTAAGTTCCATTCTCTATTACTGGAGAAATAATTTTTTTCTGCTTGCTGTTGTTCATGAACACGTAATATTGTGATGTCAAGGATGAGAAAAGGGATCAGAAAATGGAAAACGAAAGAGAAGATGTCTTGAAAAATCCTGAGACTCGAGCAAGGACAGGTGTAATTTTGGCCAGTGATGTCCAACAAGGTGGCTCTGCTTGTAAGGATTGTGATGCATCTATTGATTCTCGCGGCAATGGGAAGGTAGAGCTGTTTAATAGTGTAGTAATTCTAGTTCTGGAATACTTGTTTATCGGGTATTTGCTGTCCGGTGAGAAAATCATCATTAGCACACCCCCATGAAAATAATAATGTTCATGCCGAGAGCCTTTCACCCCAAATTCTTGCTCTAGGTATGTTGGTTGCTGGAATAACGTGTAGTTCGAAGCTTTAGTAATACAGTGCAAAATGATCATTAACCTTGCCTTGTTTGTCTTGAACTGAGAGATTGCTTTGGAGTTCCATNATCGATGTGTAGTTCGAAGCTTTAGTAATACAGTGCAAAATGATCATTAACCTTGCCTTGTTTGTCTTGAACTGAGAGATTGCTTTGGAGTTCCATCAACTGTTCTGTTTTCAGTGTCATGTTTATACCTATTTACTTGTTTGTCAAGCCTCACTCTTGTTTTATTTCTCATAGGAAATGAGCATGTTGGATAAATCAACTAAGAATGACTTGGTTACCAAGACAAGTCCAGAAAAATCGTACGAGATTTCTCCTTATCATTGCTCAGATGACGAAGAAGCGGAAGAAGAGGACGACGTACCTTCTAAAAAATTTACTCCTCCATGGGCCAGGTGACTAGCTCAACCTTTACTCAAAAAATGTTCAAGTTTTTGAGAACACATGAAGCCCTCGATGGACACATGTAGTTGTATGGAATATTGTCAATGTGCTATCAAATGCCTTTTAACCTACAAATGACTAGACGATTTTTGTCGTGTTCTGTATTTTTTCTCCTTCCGGCTTGTTTGATATACCATAGTATGCCCGTTGACCTTTTTAGTGAAATTAAAACTTGCTGAGTCCTGCTTGTTGTCTGCAGTAAAAACCGTGTGGCTCTGGTTATTTCCTCGCAGCAAAAAATTGACCCTGACGTAATATTTCCACTAGAAAGCTTTTGCAGTATGGATGAAGGTAAAATTTACACATTTTGAAGTCCTGGAGCTGAATTAACTGTTTTCTTGAACTAATGACAGCTTACTTCATGCAGTTCTCCTGCCCCGAAAGCTACAACAGAAATAAGTTGCAATTTCAAGTGAATGGTTCTCTGTTGCATCATTGTATCGTGACTTCCAGCAAATACTTCATGGACTGGGATGAGTCCTTCTGCTCCAAGATAAGGTTCTCTGACCCATGGTGCTTCTTGTTTTAAGTTCTTTAATTCCCCTGGGCAGATGGTGATAATAGGCAAAACTGGTGTTACTTAAGGTGAAAGGCATCGGAAGTGCCAAAATATTTTTGTGGCCTAGGCACAAGCGAGGTGTGGGCTTCATCGAAGTGAGGCATGTGTTGTAGATTATACATAAAGAGATTAGGAATTACAAAAGAAGTACAACATTTATAACAAATTTCAAAAAATTCGAAGCAAATAAGATATATTTCTAAAAACCAAAGGATAATTTTACTGTATTAATAGCTAATTAAACCAAAAAAAGGGAGGCTTATTTATGCTTCAGAAGTCTCAGCTTGCCTCAGTCCTAGATGCAGGCCTTTGCACGCTTTTCTTCAGATTNGTTAATCGCTAATTAAACCAAAAAAAGGGAGGCTTATTTATGCTTCAGGAGTCTCAGCTTGCCTCAGTCCTAGATGCAGGCCTTTGCACGCTTTTCTTCAGATTAGGCAAAACAAGGGGTAGTTACCTAGTTCTCCACTGTACAAGACCCTAGCGACCTTATCACCAGTTTAGCTGTCGTCTTCCTCACATATATTTACGCCAACTGAGACTTCCTTGATGACATTGCAGGTCTTGCCAACTTTTCATTGCATATTGGTGGGGGTGCCATAACTTAGGAAGGCCTAAAATGATCCATAATGGTAAACTTAGCTGTTCACTAATCAGGTATCATTCTAAGGATGACTTCAGTAACTACAGTTATTAGGTGGTGATGATTGGCCATCCTCCCAAGTGTATAATAGACTTGTATCTCTTCGCTAATGTAGTTTTTAATCGAGGACAAAAGCTTAGGATATTTAAACGTGAATTTGATAACAGTTTCATTCCTCTTCTTAAGGGGGTCATAGGGTTATGCCTAAACCCAGTTGTAAGCTCTAGAGCTAGTTCCCATTATTGGATAATGTTTTGATAACGTTAGTCGGATACATATTATATTGAAACTTGTGAGATATAAAGTATGTCCCTTGATAGAACATAAGGGCGGAATTGAATTCATGTATTAGATTTCAAATAACGAGGATAAGATTCACTTGAGTTGAATTGAATTGAGTTTACATAAATCAATTATCCACCATATAAATTTNGATATAAAGTATGTCCCTTGATAGAACATAAGGGCGGAATTGAATTCATGTATTAGATTTCAAATAACGAGGATAAGACTCACTTGAGTTGAATTGAATTGAGTTTACATAAATCAATTATCCACCATATAAATTTACATTAAAAGTTCACATCTTCTCTTAAAAGTCTTGGTAGTAACTGTATTTGTGTGTGATGGCAGATTTGTTGGTATGGAAGAGCACGTTGATGATTAAAGTTTTGGGAATGGAACTGGTTGAAGCTTTATCAATAGAAATGAATATTAGAAATTTTGCTTATGTAAATACGTCAGTCATATGCCGAGATGAGAAGTTTCTCGAACTAAGGGGATAAAGCTTCATGAATCCTAGTGTTGATGTGGTCTGTGATTGAATTGGATCTTCTAAGTCAATGCTTCCTACCACGATAGTTGGGGCTAAAAATCAAGTGTTCAAGGAAGCGGGAAAATTTTTTTTTTGGCCAAATTGTTCTTCTTTCAAACTTTAATTTTCCCAATTTTTATTACTCTGAAACAGAAAATAAATGTGGGTGTACCTTGAGGGAGTTCTCTTGAATTCAACTAAAAAATATTCGGTACTTGAGTTTTGTAAAAAAAAAAGAAAAGGAAGGAATTTAATCTATTTTAAATTCAAGTAGTATTTAAGTTAGAGTTTTGGGTTTTTATACTCAANGTTCTTCTTTCAAACTTTAATTTTCCCAATTTTTATTACTCTGAAACAGAAAATAAATGTGGGTGTAACTTGAGGGAGTTATCTTGAATTCAACTAAAAAATATTCGGTACTTGAGTTTTGTAAAAAAAAAAAGAAAAGGAAGGAATTTAATCTATTTTAAATTCAAGTAGTATTTAAGTTAGAGTTTTGGGTTTTTATACTCAACTTGAATTGAAACCAAATTTTTGGTATTGCTGTGATGGGGTGTTTGAGTTAATTTTTGTGTATTTTGATTAATATTTTTTTTCAGTTCAGTTAAAAGCAATTTACGTGGGAAATTTTTTTTATAATCTAGTTTAAAGATGAAATTCTGTTCAAAAATAAAATAAAATAAAAATGAACTTAGTTATTATAATTGAATCCAAAACAAAAAATGCAGTGTGTAGGGGGAATATCTTGTAACGGCTCTTTGACGCAAATCTTGACTTCTCTGGGGATTTCATTTGTCCCAATGTTAACTGTAGCTGCTTCTTCTATTTTGGGCTTGGGATTCCTCCCGTTTAATGCACTCCGTGATTGGACTTATGATTGCACTTAAATTCCNCATGTTGGGCTTCGGATTCCTCCCGTTTAATGCACTCCGTGATTGGACCTATGATTGCACTTAAATTCCAAAGGAAATGACTATAAAACGAAGCCAACCCATGAAANTATTTTGGGCTTGGGATTCCTCCCGTTTAATGCACTCCGTGATTGGACTTATGATTGCACTTAAATTCCAAAGGAAATGACTATAAAACGAAGCCAACCCATGAAAATTCCTTACATCTCCTTTTGATTTTGGCACTGGCCATTCCATAATAGCCCTTGGGCTGCTGAACAATCGATTCCCTGTTTAAGGTTGAGATCGAAATGGAGAAAGGAGGTTTTCTTGGTCAGACTATGGGTGGGGCATTTTCACAAAAGATTGATCTTATTCCTCTTCCACTTAGTTAGATGCATTGAATTGAAACAAAATCCTGTGATTTGATCATCTTTTATTGTTTAAAATTTATTGGGGGTTTGAACTTTGAACCTATAATCACGTGGTTTTCCGTGTTATTCTTTAGGTGACTTCAAAATTATTACTCTGTTTCAAATTTTCAAAACTCGTTAAATTTTGAAAATTAACCAAAGCTCATCTCTCAATTTTTATGCTTTTGAATGTCCAAGGTTTGTCAACTCACCTATTAGTTCTATTTATATTTATATCCTATTTAATTGATTGATTTATCTTCAATGTCTCTCTTGCAATTGTCTCTTTCACTATAGATNAGTGTTATTCTTTAGGTGACTTCAAAATTATTACTCTGTTTCAAATTTTCAAAACTCGTCAAATTTTGAAAATTAACCAAAGCTCATCTCTCAATTTTTATGCTTTTGAATGTCCAAGGTTTGTCAACTCGCCTATTAGTTCTATTTATATTTATATCCTATTTAATTGATTGATTTATCTTCAATGTCTCTCTTGCAATTGTCTCTTTCACTATAGATTAATAATACATCTCATTTAGATTAAGTCTTAATGATAAATGAAGGACAACGGTAAATTGAGTTACTGAATTAAGTTGGTAAATTCATGATTTAGATCCCCCTCTATTACATCTTCCTTCAAATTTCTCTTAATATAGTGTTAGATGAGTGACATGTGTAAAATTTTGAATTTCAATGGATAAGATGTTTTCACATTCATTTTGTTATTGTTGGAATATTAACCATTATTAAGGAATTTTCTTATAAGGAAAAAATATTGTGCATTGAAATTCTGAATCTTACACATGTTATTCATTTAACATTGTATTGAGAAAAATTGAAAAAAATGAGTAATGGAAGAGATCCAAATCCATAAATTCATAACAAATATATATGCAAAATGGGGAGTAGAATTTCTAGAAATCTAATAGTTTTACTTGAGTTTCTTTTTTGGTGGATCATATATCATTTTAAGTTCCATTGTTTACAAAAGCATCATTCACTTACAAGCATACTTCAATTAATTTTCTATTTGATATGATCAAAAATATGTCATTCATGCAAAAACTAAGGTATTTACGAAAAATAAATTCTTTATAACCTGACTATAAAAAATTATCAAAATTTAAATTTAAGATATTTAATTTATAACTCATCATAATTTTTGCTTGAGCTACTCTTTAGGGCTTATCCTTCACTCATTCGTTGTAAATAATCAATGGAAAAAGAAATTGAAGATGAAGGGTAGTAGGGTAGTGTGATGCCCAAAATGGTCCAAACCCACAATGTGAACCGGTCAAACAGTAGACTATATATCTACAACGGCTTGTTTTGAATTTTCTGAGCATAGATAATCCTGTGGGCCCCTTTTACCAGCGAAAAGAAAATACTGACACCTACCCCACATGTACGCATGATTGGAGGATCAGAGGCGTACATTCAACACTTTTCTCCATGTTATCGCATATGCGTCGACTGACATTCCAGCACTGTCATGGTAAATGGACAAAAATGCCACTACACGGGCCATTCATACGACGTCGTCCCCAAGCCTATAACCTCCCACTTCCTTCCAAATTAGTTTTCGTCATATAACCGTTATAGACCCAGTATTAGCTTCCCTTTTTTCTCTTTCTTCAACCCCCCAAGCCCCCATTTTCTAACCGTTTAAACCCCATTTTCCCACCACTACCACCTCTCTCTCTCTCTCTCTCTTCCCTGTAAGGAAATCAAGAACAACCTCCAAGAACTCTATACACTTTCATTGCGTATATCGTCAAAATTCACCACTCTGTTCTTGAAAGACTCACATTCTTTCTTTAATCACTAATGCTAGTTACTATGCATCAAAGAAAGCTTCTTGTGTTCTTGGCTTCCTTCATTCTGTTCAAATTCTCAGACCCATCTCTGGTATCAGCAAAGCATATGAGTTTCGACTTCCCATCTTTCAGCCCGCGAAACTTCACTCTCCTCGGCGACTCATACCTCCGAAGAGGCGTAATTGGATTGACAAGAGAGCTTGGAGTCCCATCTTCAAGCTCTGGAAGCGTATTCTACAACTACCCAATTGCTTTTTTCAATCAAGAATTGAATATCACAGCTTCTTTCTCTACGAAATTCTCTTTCTTCATCAACAACCGCAACCCGACGTCGTTTGGAGACGGGTTGGCCTTCTTTCTCTCTCCGGATAACCAGACCTTGGGAAGTCCAGGAGGGTATCTGGGTCTCTTCAATTCATCACAATTGACCAAGAACAAGTTTGTGGCGGTTGAGTTTGACACAAGATTCAATTTGAATTTCAATGACCCTAACGAAAATCATGTTGGGTTGGACATTGACAGCTTGATCTCGATCAAGACTGCTGATCCAATGTTGCAGGGTATTATTCTCAAAAGCGGGAATTTGATCACTGCTTGGATTGATTACAGGAACGAGGATGGAAAGTTAAAAGTGTTCTTGAGTTACTCAAATTTGAAGCCTAAAGATCCAATTTTGATGGTCGATATTGACCTCTCTGATCATCTCAATCCATATATGTATGTGGGTTTTTCGGCATCAACCGAGGGAAGCACTGAACTACACTTGATTGAAAATTGGAGCTTTCAGACTTTTGGGTTTCACCCAATTAGGCCAAGAACTCATCCTCATAATGTGTCGGATACTGTGACCTTAAAGCCACCAATTCCAGTTTCTGATACCACCAAAAAGCATCACAAGAGGCTTGGTTTAGGTTTGGGGATTGCTGGTCCGGCCTTTTTTTGTTGTGTTCTTGTGGTTTTTGGTTGGGTTTCGTTGAAGAAATGGAGGGGTGTCACAACAGAGAAGAGCCTAAAAGTAGAGCTTGTGACAGGCCCAAGAGAATTCAGCTATAGAGAGCTCAAGTCAGCCACAAAAGGGTTCCATTCCAGCAGGATTATAGGCCAAGGAGCATTTGGAAATGTTTACAAAGCATTTTTATCAGGAACTATTTCTGCAGTGAAAAGATCAAAGCATTCTCACGAAGGCAAGACTGAGTTCTTAGCTGAATTGTCGATTATTGCTTGTTTGAGGCACAAAAATTTAGTTCAGCTTCAAGGTTGGTGTGTTGAGAAGGGTGAATTGTTACTTGTCTATGAGTTCATGTCCAATGGGAGTCTTGATAAGGTGCTACACCAAGAATCTGAACTAGGTAACCCACTGAAATGGCCTTATAGATACAACATTGCAATTGGGTTAGCCTCTGTTCTTACTTATCTGCATCAAGAATGTGAGCAGCAAGTAATCCACAGAGACATAAAGACTAGTAATGTAATGCTTGATGCAAACTTTAGTGCAAGGCTGGGAGATTTCGGATTGGCGAGGCTAATGGATCATGACAAGAGTCCCGTGTCTACACTAACGGCTGGAACAATGGGATATCTTGCTCCTGAGTATCTTCAGTATGGCAAAGCAACTGACAAAACTGATGTTTTCGGTTATGGGGTGGTTATACTTGAGGTGACCTGCGGGAGGAGGCCAATTGAGAGAGAACAAGAAGGTGAAAACATGGTGAATTTGGTCGATTGGGTTTGGGGATTGTACTCTGAAGGAAGGATTTTTGAAGCAGCAGACAAACGGTTGAATGGTGAGTTCCATGAGGAAGAAATGAGGAAGCTGTTGCTTGTGGGCTTGAGCTGTGCTAACCCTGATAGCACAGAGAGACCTACAATGAGGAGAGTATTCCAGATTCTTAACAATGAGGCAGAGACTCTAATTGTCCCAAAGGTGACACCGACACTCAGTTTCTCTAGTAGATTGCCTTTGAGCCTCGAGGACATTGTTTCAGACAATGAAGATTGTGAGACATCAGAAACCATGTTTGAGATCAAAGTTGGCTGAAGTCATCTATTTAGTTCTCTTAAGCTAGCTGATTTCTTGAATTCGTGAATTTTGTTGATTAGGTAGCTTAGTTGGTGTTATGTAGTTCAGCCCTATACAAGTCTGTGAGAGTTCACTGGCCTCAGTTCAAAGCGATTCCATTGAACTAACGGTCTTGTGCTGTATCTGAACATTTTAAAATGTAATTTGGACTCCAGCTTAAGGTCCATGACTCACCCAATAATGCAAATTTCTTTGCTGCTCAAATAAATCAGAACATCAAGAAATCTGTAATTTACAACACAGTGCTAGCTGTTTCATGAGTATTTGGACCAAGGAATTTCTATAAATTATTTGTAACACATGAATGCCTCGCGTAGAACAGCAGTTGTATATTTGAAAGATTTGGATATGATAAGTTGTTGAAGTTTCTTCTTGCCAGAGATTTTTTTTTTTTAGCTCTGCGGGGATTTCTTGTTTTTTTTCCATACACAATCCATCGTGTCATCTATAAGTAGTTTCAGGGGTATTTGACAGATAACTTCTGCATTATGGGAGATAGAAAAGGTTAGCGGCTAGAATAAAACATTGAGGGTAGTTTCTGTTGCAAATAAATGGAACAGTGGACAACAGGAGGGGATTCTTATCATTCTAAATCATATGTGGGGGATCTTCCTAATGTTCAACTTACAATTTCCTTGTAGTGTATGACTGAGATACCAAAAATTTACAGTACATCTCTCCCTCAGATTAGGGGAGGTGATATAATTTCTCGAAAAGCGCCATTGCAGAAAAGTAGAAATTAATGGTTCCTGATTTATGCGAAGTACAAGAGAAATCTTAACCAATCCACCTTTTGCTAGAGGAGAACCAAAAATTGTGAGTAAAACAGTTGAGAAATAGCAAAAGATTAAAGATTAAGAGCTGAAATGCATACCATCCAACTGGACAAGGTGGGATCAAGATGAACCCCAGGCGCTCATTCCTATGGCCTCCAGCTCAGTGTGATTCTTTTGAAGTACTCTATACCATTCAACAATAATCTCATTATTTTACGACGTTTGAGTAAGTACTACTACATGTCAACTTTAGATATTGTAAGTATTAGGTAATGCCAATAGAGTAAGAAGTCTAACCATACGTTCAGGCAGATTTTGCAACAATTAGAAATGAGCAGAACGGAATATGCGCTAAAACCTGATAACTTATTGAACTGGACGAGACATTAAAGACCCTTATAAAAGAGTGAAAGGAAAAGAAAACCAAGAATGACTTGAAAAATACGAAATCTAAATTCCCACCAGCCATGGAGGCTAGCTAGGTTGGTTTGATCAGTATCAATCGCACTAGTCCCATTGAAGAAAGGTGAAACAATGGTGACAGAAGAAGAGAGGGCACACTCCCACAAAAGCAAAGACTCCCTTTATCTAATGGCGGGTTGTGCGCTCTCTCTTCTGTCAACACGCAGTCTCATCCACCACCAGTGACACACTTGATAAACTGCTTTCTGATCTCTTTCATGGCTGCAATAGAAAATCATGAAATCAATGCATTAGAAAGAGAGAGAGAGAAAAGAAAAACGCATGCCTGCATGTGTTTGCATGACAAGCCTACCTATTCAAAAAAATAGTACACTGCATGGATAAATACAAAAGTTAAGGGCTTGTAACAAAGAATATGAAGAACTTACTCCAAAAAAAAAAAAACAGAAGGATATGAAGAAATTAAGGGACAGCCAGAAACGGGAGGCAAGGGTATACGAAGGAAGATGAGACGTTATATATACATATGAGCAAGAGGCTCTTGGTGGTAAAAAAAGAACAGTGGGTCAGTAAATTAAAGCTATGTTGGTTTATTTTTGGCACTTCCTTTGTATTTGGAGAATCGGCTAAAATCTTAAGCAGCAGATTTCCTAGTCAAGTATATTTAAAAATCCTAGTTGCTTTCACCAAGTAGAAAACCTTCATTAATTATCATCTACGGCCCTTGTCAGGTGAGAGAGAGAGAGAGAGAGCGAACCTGTTTTTTTTTTCTTCTTTGAATTTGGAGAGAGAGAGTTAATAGAGAACCTCTTTAAGCCTGCACTAATGAGTTTCATGTTTAGCCAAATGTAGTGAGATGGTGACTGGTTCTTGCAGGAATCCAAGAGGGGGTCTGTATCACTATCATGCACCCTTGGTGGAAGCCATGAAGCCTTCAAGATCATAGGCTTAACTTCTTGTGCTCTGAGCACATGCATGATGAGAATCCAGTGGACCCCCTTCTGCACATAATCAAGACCGTCCAATGAGAATCCAGTAGGTCCCCTTTCAATTTACTTATTTCACTCCTTACTGCAAATATAAATACTAAAGAATGCATCATTTCCCTGCTTAAGAGTTTCATTAAGTAAATTGAAAGCAAAGTGATGATAGGATGACACAGTGGGAATAGGGATATCAATTGGTATCTTGTAGAGGAGGATTCACTGGTTATTAATTCATATCAAACTAACCTGTAAATGTGCCTACTAATATTCATATCATATTAAATTTGTGTAATGTGTCGAGCGTTAGAGGATTCATTGGTGGTGGATTCATGTCTTGTTTAGTTGAACTCAGTGTTGATTCATTTATCAAGTGGGTTTGAAGGTCAACACGTTTACGATACATATCCAAATTGACAAGTAATTAAAAAATTGTCAATTCTAATTCTGCATTCTTCTATTTATCAGTGGGCAGCCTGGTGAAGCCACCAGAATCTGCACCATCTCCGAGTGCGGGGGGTGGGACGGGAGATGGATCAGGCGGAGGGGTTGGCCGGGATTTCGATCATTGTGACCCCCTAGACTGGGGTTGAATTCCACCACCAAGCTCCCTGTTGCATCTATCTTCATAACTGCTGTTGGAGACATGTTGGTCATTCTCTAAATGTATATGAACTAGTTCCTGTGAATGAAAGCTTGCTTCCATAGTTGTTTGACCTGATCTTTCTTGTAATACAGTATATTATTGATGATTGCCTACATAGACTTTAATGACAGTTTGATGGTAGAATCTATTGTAACAGGTCCTCACATTCACACTTACAAAGATTTTAATGATACAGGACATGCTCACAAAAAATATTTGCCCAGCTGAGCTTCAGCAAGATATAATGAATCTATGAGTTCATCACGGGGAAACGGCCACATGATGGAGCAACTAGCAATACTGTTTATCTTCTGTCTCCTACTTCTGTCAGGAAAATCCATACCAGTATTTATACCATTCTATCTGCTACAACTCCCACTCACTTCTTCTTGAGTTTCAATTCTCCCTTGGATTATGACAATTTCACTTCTCAAACACCTGATGTGGCCCGTGATCCCACATGAACTCTCTTCACTTCTTCTTAGTTCTGTATCGCCCTCCATATGCATCGAATGTTGGAGTTCTTATCAGCAGGATTCATAGCAAGAGCTTACACCCCTGCGATACAATGATATCAGAAACTGGATATCCACTTAGCATCTGCAACATCATGAACTTTGGATCATAAGAAATCCGTAGAACAGCAACAGAAATTGATTAAGATGCCTTTCTAAAAGAGATTTCATCATAAAAAAATTGCTTCCAATACGCAATTGATCAAGACCGCCTCCTACACTTACATTTCTTCTCGGATAAGACGAGCGGCGAATGCTCCATCAAGTGAATGCTTCACAGGGCTAGAATAATAAAAACCACGTTCCATTACAAAATCTGGGGGTACGAATCTGTTGGCAGGATCTATACTGAATTCCTGCATAGATATTTTTTTCACAAAAAAAAAATGATTAAGACAATGCATTAACCTCACACGTTTAATTATATTTATATAATAAGATAGCTCACAAATTGAATTTTATCTCCTACACATTCCCCCCTCCCAAAATAAAAAATCACATCATTCATTTCAATAACATGCCCAATTATTTTAATAGCTCACAAGTTAAATTTTATCTCCTAAATATTTTTCTCCCAAAAAATATCACATTACTTATTTCTATCACATGTCCAATTATTTATATTTGATTAATTTATAATTTAATATAATTTTTATTTCAAACATTATCCATACACGATAGTATACACATGTTGAAAAAATTTTATTGGATTACGTTTTTAAAAAAAACATTGTCGATATTTTTAAGAAAATAATGGATAAACATAGATTTTAAATGATGTAATCAAAAAAATGAAGAAAAGAAAAAGTATTATTTAATATAGTTGAAAATAATGGATAGTGTTGGAGTTATAGCATAAGTTTATACTTTTGTTTTACCTTTTTATCCTTAGCGTATGTTTATTGTTAACTATATATACGAGGGGCTCTACACTTAGTTTGTATCCCTTTAACTCATATATATTCCTCTTCTTGGTATCAAAGCCAAACCCTACCTTTAACTCTAACCCTAACCCTAACCCTAACCTTCATCATAATCAAGCCACAGCTAACCGACAACAACCTAGCCACTGCCACAGGCCAGTCATCTTGTTGCCTCACTGCCCAGCAACCTTCTCCATAACCACCGGCCTTCTCCCAAAGCCAATACCGACTATACCACTTGTTGTCTCACTGCCCAGTAACCTTCTCCATAACCACCGGCCAAGACCCAACAGCCCACTGCCCAATAACCTTCTCCCAAATCCAATACCGACTATACCACTTGTTGTCTCACTGACCAGCAACCTTCTCCATAACCACCGACCATTACCAGCCAAGAGCCAACAGCCAACAGCCCACTGCCCAATAACCTTCTCCCAAATCCAATACCAACAATACCAGTGACAGCCTTTAGCCTACTACCAATACCCCACAAAATCAAACCCCAGCACTGACAATCATACCACAACCATCATCGACTGCATATACCAAAGCCAACATATACTCATACCCAACCAAGCACATCGACTGTCCAAACACCCCAAGTCAGCCATACCCAAAACCAAGCCGCCGACTGTCCAAACCAGCACCCAAAACCGACTGCCCACTGCCCAACCAAAACCAGACCAGCCCCAAACCAGCCCACTCATCAACCCGCTATCGAGTCCATTTATCTTTTCGTCACAGTGTCGCTATCTTTTCGCGCCACCTTTTTTCCTAGAGTTGCAATATCTAGGCCTTTTTGATGAGGCATCAGATCCTCTTTTTCATTGATCTGCTTTTGATGCAGTAGATCACTTATATATATTTTATGAATTTCTGGGCACCATGACTTGATTATTTGGGAGTTTTCTGGACCTTTTTTATCTGTTACTATTGTTCGACTT